GGCTGCACCTTGTAAGTCCTGAAGGCCACAGTCAGGGGTTTGGAATTCATTCCAAGTGCAATGGACAACCATCAGAGGCGCTGAAGCAAGGGAATGACAGATATTGTTTATGCGGCAGAAACTTCCCTGACTGCAGTGTGTAGGATGGACTACAGGGGGCAGGATGAGACGAGTCTGGAGCTAGGACACCGGTTGGGAATGTCCTTGAGGTAGCCTAGGCTAGACTTCAGGGTGACTTGGTCTAGGGCTGTGACTGTGAAATGGTGAAAGATGGACACGAGTCTATTTTGGAGGCAGGATGAGGAGGTGATGGAAAGAGAGAAATTAGAATAAGTTAGTGTTGCCCTGGCCGGTTTGGCTCAGTGGTTAGAGCGTCGGCCTGCGGTCCTGAGAGACCCGGGTTCTGTTCCCACTAAGCGCATGTACCTCGGTTGCAGTTTGTCCCCGGACCTGGTTGGTCATGCGGGTGGAAGCCACTCGATGTGTCCCTTTCACATCGATGTTTCTCTCTCTCTCTTTCTCTTCCTCTCTCTCCCTCCCACTATATCTGAACAAAAAATAGAAAAAAATGTCCTCGAGTAGGATTAAAAAAAAAAAAAAAAAGAATAAATTAGTGTTTTGGCCTGAATAGCTGGCTGGCTGGTGATGCCGTTTATTTATGATGTGACAATTTGGGAAGGACTGGATTTTGGGTGGGGTGGATAGAAATGAAAGCCTAGTTTTTTTCTGTGAAATGCTCATTAGGCATCCAAGTGGAGGTGATAGGTAGTTAAGTATAAATTAAATATATAAGTCTGGAGATCAAGGGAGAAGTCTTGGCCAGAGAGAAAGATTTGAAGTGGTCTATGAAGCCCCAGAGCTGGAGGGCACCCACTGTGGGAGTGAATGACGACAAAGACAAGAGGGCTAACGAGGACCCCTCCGGGTCAACTATCATTTAGAGACGGTGGGGAGGAGGGGAAAGGAAGGAGCCTGGGAAGGAGCAGCCCTGAGTAGGAGGAAAACCAGGGAAGTCCACAGAAGAAAGTTTTTCACAGAGGAGGCGAGGGCCAAGTATGTCCAAGGTCACTGAGAGACAGTAAGTGAGGCTAGAGACTTGAGCTTTGGCTTCAGCAAGATGTAGGTCATTGGTGACAGGGACAAGAGCCAGTACACGTAATGATGGGGACAAAGGGCTGATTGGAACCGGATGGAGTAAGAATGGGGAGGAGGAAGTGAAATGGCACACACAGAGGCAATGGGTGTGGAGGGAGGGTTTCTCTAGGGGGGTGATGAGGCCTATTTATGCACAGGTGACATGATACAGGTACAATAACGAGAGGACATGGCTGGTGGAGGAGGACCTGCAGGAGTGAAGCTTTCAGAAGGTCCAGGGGGTGGAACCCAGTTGGCAGGGTGGGATTTGACTTCCACTGTAACCAGAGGTGTGTGTGCAGGGGAGATTGGGGGGTTCTCATTGTTTCCCTGACTTGTGGGGTGCCATCACCAGCTGGCATTGAGGTGGGGACAGTGGGAGACTCAGGGAGAGTAGAAGGCATGAATTAGCCTCTCTCGAGAGGGAGAGAGCAAAGCTTCTAAGGCACGATGGAGGAGTTGGGGGCCCCGTGAGAGTCGCAGTTTTGATTGGATGTGAATCCAGTTGCACTGGTGTGCTGGTTTTGCCAGGTGAGTATGATGGATGGAGAAACGAGTAACGGAGTTGATGCTGGGTGGTGATTACCAGGCTGGATCAAGGACTCCAAGCTGCATAAGGAGGGCAGTGAGGACATGGCTGATGGGGCTAAGGGGCGAAGGCCATTGCTTGGAGGTCTCCGGGGTTCAGGGAATTGCTGGCGCGGGGCCAATGCAGTACCTGAGCGGGAAGAGTAGGAGGTGATGTTCAGGTCGTGGGAGGTCTGAGGTTAGCAGGATGACAAGATCAGGTGTATCCATTTGAGAGCATGGCTGCAGTGGCGTCAAGGAGGTTTTCTAACCTCTCTTACTGCCTTTGCCCCTCCCAACCTGGGAAACGGGGGGCTACGTCCTACCAGAGCGGGAACGGGTGAACCTCTTCATTGTACAAAGTGGGAAACAGACCAGGAGATGTTGGGTGCAGAAACAAACATGTTGGAAGCTGGCCCAGCCGGCGAGGCTCAGTGGTTGAGTGTCAACCCATGAAAGTTGCTGGTTCCATTCCCAGTCAGGGCACGTGCCCAGGGGGGACATGCAGGAGGCGACCAATCGATGTTCTCTCTCAGCAATGTTTCTATCTCTCCCTCTCTCTCTAAAAATAAATAAAGAAAAAAATTGTTTCTAAGAAAATGTCAGAAGCTGGAGTTCTGAAACCCAGCCCCGGGGTGAGGTTACATTCTTGCTGGTGTCATCCTCCTCCCGACTTCCCAAGGCAGCAGAGCCTGGTTCTCCCCCGCCTCTGATCCTGGAGCATAAGGTCCTCCCCCTGCGCCCCAGCTGCCCCCTGCCTCACAGCTTTTCCCGCAACCCTCAGCCCTCTGGGGAATCCCCTGCGGGCAGTTCGAGTCTGCAGCCACAAGGAGCACCTTTCTGGGGTTAACCAAGCTGTGTGTATCTCTACAAATGTCTGAAGGCAGATCTTCACATTGGTTCATTTGTTCACTCACTGCGGCAATCATTCATTCATTCATTCATTTATTCAAAGTGATTCCATCTTTTATTATTCATTCCTTGCAAAATTGGTTATCCACCCACCCAACTAGCCAGACATCCTATATATACTGAGTGCTGGTCATTGTCCTGTACAGGCTTTACACACCAGGCATCACATGTCCTCATGTGTCGGAAGGTGTCCATGCTTTCCCACGTCCATTGTGCATCTATTCCCTACATCACGTGTATCATGTGTGTGCCGTGTGCCTGAGGTCTCTGAGTTCTCCTAGCCTCTTCCTCAGAGCAGGGCTGATAATACATGAATTGCTATGGATCAAAGTTCACAAGATGAGTCTTTATTAACTTCTAAAGCTGTCTGTGTTTCCCATGAAAAAAATCTTTTTTCAATTTCAAAAGCCAGGCTTGCTCATCGTGAAAATACAAACGACAAAACATGCAAAGTAAAAAACGTCCTTACAAGTGGCTACTTCCATTCCTCCACCCCACAGTGCCAACTACTGCTTATAGTAGGGCAACTGTGGTTTGGTTCATATCCTTCTAGATCTTTTCTGTACATTTGCAAAGGAGATATATTACAGCATATATCCTGTATGCTGTAGTATATATTTACAAATTGAGACCATAGGCTTATTGTTCTGCAAGTTGCCTTTTCTCTGTAATAATACGTGGGGGACATGGTGCCAAGTTGGTGTTTCAGATCCACTTCATTCTTTTTAACAGCCATTCAGCCTTCACAATATGGATGCACGTCTATATTCTCAGGCTCCTGTCAATGGACACTTACCCCCAGCTAGAATGCTGTGGTGGGCATCTCTCCACGCTCTTTTTGTTTATTTTTATTTTTTATTTTATTTTATTTTATTTTTTATCCTCACCCGAGGATATTTTTTCCATTTTTTGTACAGATAGAGTGGGAGGGAGAGAGAGGAAGGGAGAGAGAGAGAGAAATATCGACGTGAAGGGACACATCGAGTGGCTGCCACCCGCACGACCAACCAGGGCCGGGGACAAACTGCAACCGAAGTACGTGCCCTTAGCGGGAACCGAACCCGGGTCTCTCCGGACCGCAGGCCGACGCTCTAACCGCTGAGCCAAACTGGCCAGGGCTCTCCACGCTCTTTTTGTGTCTGAGCATTTCTGAAGGATATTTTTAGAAGTGGAATTGCTGAGTCATGTGCATTTAAAGTTTTAATGAATAGCCAACAGCAGGCATGGTGCCAGACACATAGTAGGATCCTTGTAAACATCGGTGGCATGAATGGACACTGCTAGATTGCCCTCCAGGAAGATCACACTATGTCCACTCCCACCAACAGTGAACGAAGCCATAAAACTGGCCATTTCTGCCCCCGTGTCCCAGGAACAGTGGGCTTCAGAAACACTTGCCTTTAGGCCACTCTACTGCTGCCGGGAGGGTTTAAAGGCCCCCTGTCATCTTTGAGGAAAGGAAGACAGCGTCCAGGCTGAGGATGACTCCTGCTCCAGGTCTGCAAAGCCCACTGCCCAACTGGGGCTGGGGTTTGCCACAATGAGGGTGACACCAGCTCTGAGACTTCTCTCGCTGGAGCTAGCCAAGTTTACACGGAACACCTACATGTCTTCCTTCTGACCTGATAAATCCCTGAAATGGAAGGGAAACTTCTATGGCAGAGTTAACTGTCCTATCAACTCCATGTTGTCCGCAACCACTGTGCTCCCCGAGGCCCGGTCTCAAGCAGGAACTCTCCGCCAGGCAGCCCCTGTTCCCGGCCGTCTAGGGACTCTCTCCCCATGCACGCATCGTGCTAGGCTCCCAACTCCGTGCTCTGCTACAGACTCCCCGGGACCTGTGCCCTGGGCACACTGCCAGTGCCGAGTGCTTCTTTCCTCGAGGGGACCTGCAGGTGGGACTGCGTGGCGTGCCTGAACCACACTGGGCTGGAAGCAAAGGCGGGTCTGCGTATCCTCTCTTCCCTCTAGGAGATTCCAGGGTGGGGCTGACCCAGTCTCCGGAGGCCCCGCCCTACAGGTGGCCAGGAACTCCCCTCCCCCACGGTGAGAGAATCAGGGAGCTGAACTGTGTCCCCAGGACAGTAGTAGGAGGACGGGTGCAGAGCACACACACGGCCACTCCCACACCCTCCCCAGCTTCCTGTCCAGGCTTTTTAGCATGCACAGACCTTGAGGAGCGGGAGGTCAAAGCATCTGTAAAGACCCTTTCCCAGAGCATGGCCCATGGTGGTACTGTCTTTCTAGGCTTATTGTCAACAGTCCCGGAAGACTCATGAATGGTGGGACTTGGGGCACAGTGACTGCACCTTTCCTGCCCCCTGCCCCCAATTTCCCAGCAGGGTCTGGGCTCACCTCCCCACATAGCCAGAGGCAGACTCAGCAGCAGCAATCAGGTAATTTAGTGAGTATGTGTTGGGGGGCAGGGTGGGGTAGAATGGGGTCTTTTCTGTTCGGATAGAACTGGAGGTGCCTCAGAGCTCATGCATTCTGGTCTCCCACATACGGCAGTGCCCTTCACACCTCAGAGCTGGCTGTCCAGGCAAGAAACGGGGCTCCCTCCCCTCCTCAGAGTAGCCCATTCTACAGTCAGTCACCTCCAACTGCTGACATTTTCCTCTTGGCAGCCTCTGGAACAGACAGACGGGGTGGAACAGGGGCAGGAAAAGCAATAAGTTAAATCCAACAAAGGCCAGACATGCAGCAGGATGGGCGAGGGCGTTTCCGGGGTCCCCGGCGTCTCTGGCTCAACCCAGGAGGTGATGGGAAGGCGGTGGCTGAGGCAGGATTCCAGGCAGGAGGTGGTTCAGAAGGCTGGGTTGTCAATGCCCCTGGGGACCCCAGAATGTTCTTCAGGTGTAAAGCTGTAGGGAGGAGGCGGATCCATGGGAGGCAGACCCAGGACTGGCTTCAGAATAATCTGCAGGGAAAGGAGGGGGCACAGAGTCTTCTTAGGGCCGGGCACTGGCATCGCCACCCACGTGCTGGCAGTGTACCAGGGAAAGGGGTGACCCAGAGCTGGCTGTAGCGTCCTCCCGGGTGGGGTAGGGAGGCCCTCACTGTCACTGCTGTCTGAAAACTGGGACAATAGGGACATACAGAAGGCCAAGGAGCAGAACAGGGATTAGGACAGACACCCACCTCACTGTAGGGCGGTGGGGACTCAGAGGGGGGCGCCCTGACCCTCTCTGTGGGGGCAGTGGTGGGCTGTTCCGGCGGCCCCACGTGATCCACTGGGGGGTCCGGTTCCTGCTCTTCGCAGTTGCGACAGAAGCGCCTAGCCAGGCCACAGATGCACAGGATGGGCACGATGATCAGGAAGATGATGACAAAGATCCTGGGGCGAGGGACCGCCAACATCACCCAGAGTCTCCAGGCCATCCCCACCGCACCTCCCTCCCTCCCTTGAGTGACACCCCCCAGGGCAGAAAGCCCAGTCTGTCCTGTGTGGCCAGGCCCTAGGAGGGCTATGTCCAGAGGAGCTGGCCCTGGGCTCACCTCAAAGGGCCAGAGAAGAGCTCGGGCCCCGGGCAGCAGTCGTCACCGCAGCATCTGAATCCTTCAGGGCAGGCGCTGCGGGTGGAGGCAGGAGGCTGTGGTTACCGTACACCTAGGGCCTGAGCTATGCCCCTTGTGGGGTGGGGGGAGGGGCCCCCTCAGGGCTCAGGGGGAGAAACCCGAACTCGGAACCTCGGTTCCCGGTGCATCTCGCTACTGGCCTTGTGCCAAGGCGTGCTCCTTGCTGAGCCTCACTTTCCTCATCCACAAAATGGGTGTAATGGATGTTATGCCGACCTCACTGGGCAGGTGTGGGGACTGAGTGTTGTAATGGAGACGGGAAGTGGGGAGTGTCCAGGAGCTAACTGAGGAGGAGCCAGCCCTTGCTGGTGCCCACAGACAAGGAGGTGGGAAGGAGGGTGTTCCTGCCGCATCCAGTGCCAACTGGTTGGCAACACTCTTCTGCCTACAGACCACCCCCTTGGTCCCTCCTCACCGTGCCCAGGCTCCTGACGTTTATACATTAAGGTCGCACACTGTTTGCCCCCTCTCCCAGGGTCCTCTGAGAGGGGAGATGGCCTGAGACTGCAGAAACAGGAGGGGGATTAGGCTTCAGAAGGCCCTCATGTGAAACTCCCCCAGGGATGGCTGGTGGGCAGAGGGAGGGCACAGTCTCCATCTCTGGGTGGGGTGTGGGGGGATGGTTTCTGGCTAGAGGGGGAGTGGGTGAGGGTGATAGATGAGGTGCTCCCTCCCGTGAAGGCAGGCAGGACAGGTTTGGAGTCTCCTCTCCAGTTTGAAAGTTACAGCCCAAACCCAAGACTTACAAGAAGGGACCACATCTGGCTGCAGCCTGTGGAAGAAAAGAGCAGAGGTTAGGGGTCATAAAGGCAGGTGCTGCCCAGGTACCTGACAGCCAGCGGGCCCCCAAGTCTGCTGTCCACCTTACTCCACCATGTTCCCCATTTCAGTGATGGGAGCCCTGGCTGCCAGCCAGGCTCCCCAGCTCTCCTTCCTCTCCTTACCACCCCCACACCATGTTCACTCCTCCCCAGGTCTGCAAGCTCAGCCTTCTGACATCTACAGTCTAGAACGATAACGACTCTCTGCTGCCCACCAGCCAGTCCCGACACTGCGGGCAAGTTTCTGTCCACAAAAACCTGATCACCCGCAACCTTGCTGGAAGCTTCTGTCAGGGGCTCCCTGGGGCCCTGACCCCCATGGACCAGCCTTAGCCCCCTTCTCCTCTCTTGCACACTCCCACTGGGAGTCCCCTGAGCACCCCTGGCTGTTTTACAGCTACATGCAGGGGCGGGCCCTCGTCCCCAGGCCTTCCCGCTCTGCTGAGCCCTGTTCACCCTTCAGACCCCTGCCTGGCGGGGTTCCTCGCTCTTTGAAGCTGCCTGGACCCTCCTCCCTGGAACCAGGTCCTCTCTCCCCACCTCTTCTGCACTAGTTCTGTGGGGTATCCAGAGTGTCTGTCCAGAATTTAACCCGATTAATAGCAATTCTGTGTGCAAGCCTTGCTTGGGACATCCTTCCTGGGATTCTGCAGGGCTGGCTCCGGCACCTTCCTCTCTGACCATCTTATTGAACGTTACAGCTACTGCCTCAAAGCACGCCCTTCCCCTCCCAGTGCCTAATGTTTCTGCATAGCGCTTATTACCATCTAACAGCGTGCATTTTCCTTTATCTTGTTAAGTGTGTTTTCTAAGTAGAGTGTAAACTCCACAGGGCAGGGATTTGGGTCTGTTTCATTCCTGTTGAAAACCCAGCAATACTGGCAGAATGAACGAGAGAACATTCATCGATTACCTGGTTTCATTTCTTCCTGGCCACTTCCAGACTGGGCTTGGGGGAGGGATGCAAAGGTGGGAACACAGTAGGGAATGGCAGGTTATCTGTCACCCTGTCACCCCAGCCTCCCAGGGACAAACAACCAGGGCTCAAAAGAAGTTATCTTTGGTGAGACCACCCTATCTTTATACATTTCATTAAAATATTTCAATAATATATTTTTTTTTATCCTTACCCAAGGACATTTTTGCATTCATCTTCAGAGAGAGCGAGAGGGAGAGAGGGAGGAAGAAAGAGAGAGAAACATCGATGTGAGAGAGACACATCGACTGGCTGCCACCCACACGACCCCAACCAGGGCCAGGGACAAACTGCAACCGAGATATGTGCCCTTAGCGGGAACTGAACCCGGGTCTCTCTGGACTGTGGGCTTTAACCGCTGAGCCAAACTGGCCAGGGCTCAGTAACATTTTAATTGCTAATGACAACAACAGTAAAGCTAAGAAGACCACTGACAGCCAATAATAGTTGCGCTGAACTGATTCCCCCTTTCCGTGTTCAGTCCCACGTGAATACCTGCTTCTCACAAGCCTTGGACGGTGGGGACTGGAGCAGCAATGAATCCCTGGGGCAAGTGGGCCCAGCGAGGGTGAGGGCCACACAGCACAGGGAGGCCACTGCAGAGTTGGGGACAGACCAAGGGGTCCAGACACTCAGTGGCAGCCACTTCCCCTTCAGACCCCAGACCTGTCCCTCCTCCTTTTCTGGCCTCCAGCTAAGCAGAACATATATGAACAGGCTCCATAAGTTTGCCCTGAGTTCTTCTTTGGAAGGGGTAGATCTCTCAGATCCTCTTTCCCTATTATACCAAGGGGTGGTCTTGTCTCAGGTGGTCCAGAGCCTGAGTTCTATCAAGTGTCAGGATGATCTTGGAGAACCTCAGCTTACAGTCATGTGCTATAACCACATTTCGGTCAATGACAGACCGCATACACAATGCTGGTCCCATAGGTTATAATGGGGCTGAAAATTCCTCTGCCTAGTGACGTCATAGCCATCAGAGCAACTTCCAGTCCTGCAAGCTCCATTCACGGTAAGTGCCCTATGTACAGGGCACCATTTAAAGAAATGGTTTATACTGTATTTTTTAAAAAACTTTTCTTTTACTTTATTTTTAAAAATGTGTTTTTATTGATTTCAGAGAGAGGAAGGGAGAGGGAAATAGAAACATCAATTGGTTGCCTCTTGCACGCCCCCTACTGGGGGTTGAGCATGCAACCAGGGCATGGGCCCTGACAAACCATGACCTCCTGGTGTATGGGACAAAGCTCAACCAACTGAGCCACAGGGACAGGGCAATACCATAATCTGACTGTACCTTTTCTGTTTAGAAACACAAACACTTACCATTGTGTTACATTTGCCAAAGGATTCAGTACAGCAACATGTTGTACAGGCTCATAGCCTACGAGCAAAAGGCTATACCATGTAGCCTAGGTGTGCAGTAGGCTACACCGTCTAGGTTTGTGTAGGTACACTCCATGATGTTCCCACATTGAAATGACCTAGCGAAGCATTTCTGAGAACGCACACCGTTGTTCATCAGAGCCTGACTGTACACTGTACTTACAGCTGAACTGGGGACATTTGCAGTGCCTGCTCCCTGGAGATGTTAGGAGGAATCAACAAGAGGATGCTCGGCCTAGTGATGGTAAAACCGATGGCCTAGTGATTAAGGAGTACCAGGGCTTCAGGGGCAAAGCAGCCCTGAAAGTCAGCACAGCCCTGTGAATGTGCCCTGTTCTGGGAAGCCAGCCTGGCACTTTCCTTGGATCTTAAACAGAAGTTAAAAATGTGTCTTCTGGACTCACATCAATCTCCAGGATAATCTCCCACCCCAGAACTGGATAGAACTTCACCATCACTGGGGGTATGAGATGAGGGTGTGCCTGCCCACTCCCAGAATCACAAATTTCAGAGGTCATCCCAGCCTTGAGTCAGGCAGCCGGATCAAATCCTACCACAGGCTGGAATCCTACCCCTGCTCCTAGAAAGGGACTAAGGAGCCTCCTCTCTCCTAGGGCACAAGCAAATAAACAGTCCAGAGAAGGCCAGGACTTCCCCAAGGTCACCCAGCACTGGAGAAACAGAGCTGGGGAGAGAGGCTAGCCAGGCGTCCAGACCTGAGTCCCACACAGTTCCCGCTTTCTGACTATGCGGGAAGGACTATCCAAGGCTCATATGCGGGTCAAAGTCCCCACTCACACAGAGGCGCTAGGTGTCAGATGGTGGTGGGCGTGGGTCAGTGTCACGACACAGTCCCTCCAAGGTGAAGGAACTCCAGCCTTTTCAGGGCCTCGGTCCGCTGCCCCCACCTTCACCTCCCCAGCAAAATGAGAAAGGAAGTGTCTAATTGCGTGTGGTCATGAGGAAATCCTAACAATGGAAGGTGGTGACCCGACTCCAGAAGCAGGCTCCAGACCCACAAAGGTAAGACCCTGAAGGTTCTATAGCTTCACCTCCCGAGTGCTCACCTGTTGGAGGCCGGCCAGCAGGCCGAGCAGCAAGGTGGGTAAGAGGCCGAGGACCCAGGCGTCGGACATCCTGGCGTGGGGGCCACTGAGCTTCCGTGTGTAAGGGGAGGAGGGGAGAGGCGGGGAGAGGCGGGGCCGCGACCTCTCCCACGTCTCTCCACCTATGGGGTCCCGCCTTGGAATGGGGGCGGGGCCTATGCACCGGGATGGGCTGGACTTGGGGCAAGAAGGAGGAGGGAAGAAGTGGGGAAGAGGTCCGCCTTGGTTTTTGGTAATGGGGAAGTAGACGAGGTTAACTGAAAAAAAAAATAGTGAGGTCATTTCAAGACTGCTAAACTCCCCTTCTAACCCCCAGCTCCTGCTCCACCCCTAACTGGCCCCAGGCTTACGGGAGGGAGGGCTGCGCCTGGCCGGGGAGAGGATGCTGACAGAGGGAGTCCCCTCCCTGGCCTTCTGCGGGCAGAGGTTGAGGGAAGGAGAAGGTTCTGGAGGGGATTGCAAGGGGAGAGGTATCACCCCCCGCCCCCCTTCTCACTCTCTCTCTTCTTTCTTTTCTTTTTGCCAAGAAGGGAGGGAGAGGCGGCCTGGTTGATTTCTGGGGACGGAGAAACAGAAGCACAGCCCTAGTACAACCGTGTTCCCCAACCTCCCTTGAAATCCTGGGAGGAGGTGTTGGTACACTTCCTCCTTTTGACTGCAGGGGCAATTAAGGCCCCAGAGTCCAGGGATTTTCCATGGGGTCCGAAGTGGGGCTGAGCGGTAGCCAGGCGAGGTTCCGCGCGGGCAAACAGGTCTATCGGGATTCCTGGAAAGCCCCGGCGCAGGCTGCCGGAGCCCCAAGGGGCGGGATTCCCACCCTCCGCGGCCGCGCCCCAGCCCTCGAGGCGTGCTGTGCTGACCGGGTCTGACCGGCAGGTGGCAGCATCGCACAACCTGGGATTTCCCGGGAGCCAGGGGACGCTGGGCTGGGACCTGGGACCTGGGACCTGGGACCTGGGACCTGGGGCTGGGTGTCCGGGGAGCTGACTGGCTGGCGGGGTTGGAGGCCATCTCGGAGGTGATAGGCGCAGGATGAGAGCCAGACGCCCAAACACGGGTGACACCTGAGGAGACAGTGCCGGAGCTGGAGACATGGAACCTGGATGCCTGGAGAAGGGGTGCAATGGAGATCGTGGGTGGGGTGCTGCTCTTTGGCCTGGGGAAAGAGGGAGGGCTCCAGGAGATGCTCAGTTCTTAGGTTGTCAGACATCTCCAGTGTCTCAAATCTGATTTTGCCACTGGAAAATATCCCCAAGTTCATATGAAAGAACAGCCAGTCTCCTCTTTTTTCTTGTTCTCTCACCACTTTCTCTTTACCTCTTTTTCTCATCTCTCCCAGTAATGTTATCTCTGCCCTATGTTTAAGTTTCTTGTCTCCTTCCATTTCTCCCAGTCCATCTTCCTGTTTTAGTTTCTCCCTATCTCGGTCTCCACTCAGTTTCTCTCCATTTGTCTGTGTCCCCCTGTTACCCAACTGTGTTTCTCCTTTCTTCTGTTTGTTAATCTGTTTGTCTCAGCCAAGGAGTCTGGTTTTCTCTCTGTTCCCATTTATTTTCCTGTCTCTGGTTTTGTCCTGTGTCTCTCGATCTTTATGTGTGTTTTTCTCACCAATTTCTTGGTCTTTCTCCCAGTATATGTCTTCCTGGTCTCTCTCTCTCTCCCCCCTCTTTCCCTCTGTTTCTCATCATCTCTTGGCCCTTTTTGGCCCCTAAGGACAGTCTTCCAGTCTCCTGATCCAAGTGGAATTGGGGTCTGGCCCTAGAGAATGACCTCTCTGTTCTCATTTCCTGGTGACTCTGAGCTTGGAGAAGGGAATGTACATGGGGTAGGGGCACCTCTTCCCTCATGCCCCTGCAGTTGGCTCTGGACCCAGCCTAGAGTGCTGGAACCTTCTCCCACCAGTGCACATTCTACCGCCTCCTTGGTGAAGTCGTTGCTAACTTGGACTTCTAAGGCCTTCCCATGCCTGACCTGGCCTCACTGTGTCAACACTAAAGGCTGGATGAAGGGTATCTCCACTGCACCCCATGCCACTCTGCCCAGGCCTAGAGCTGTACAGAGGCGTGGCCCTTAGAGGAGACGAAGATGGGTGAGTTTAGGGGGGGATGGTATCCTGGGGGGTGCAATGGGGGTGCTGAAGAGGGCATAGAGGAGTTTGTGGGGCAGACATGGGAGGCTGGGAAGGCTGGCATCATTCCCCTCTGGCTCTCTGGCATCTACCTAACACAGATCTAGGGTTGCCAGACAAAATACACTCAGTTATATTTGAATTTCACATAAAGAATGGGTAATATTTTTAGCGTGAATATGTCCCATGCAAAATTTGGGATATATTTATACTAAAATTTATTTGTTGTTTATCTAAAAATCAAATTTAACTAGTTGTTTTGTATTATTACTTGTTAAATCTGGCAACGCTACCCACATCCCTAAAATGTTATAGAACAGACATTTAAGAACAGCTACTCCACCCACTGGCCCACATTTCCCCAGGGGGGAAGTAAGGCTCATGGGGTAGAGTCCAGAGGGCTCTGGGTCCCCAACTTTTTTCATGATACAAAACTGCCCTTCTATGCTCCTTCCTGCAAGTGAGGATGGGGAGGGGCCTGGAGGTGGGTGGTCCTAGCCCAGGCCAAAAACACTAAGCCCTGTTTTCAGCATCCATCATGGCTCCCAGGGCCCCAGCATTCTTAGTGGGTGAGGTTGGGTGGGGGTTGGGGCACAATGGGGCCCTAGATTGAGCAGACAGGGGGCCATTCTTGTGTAAAGGCAGGAGGGTCCTGGGCAGAGCCACCATCTTCTGTTCAACACTGACTCTGGCAGTGGGAGGGAAATGTGTGCACGCGTGCACGTTTGTGCTCAGGCATGCAGGGGGCAGGGAGGCCCAGCGACCTCATGCTGTCAGTGGGTCCCTCGAGACTCCACACCAAATTCCATGTGGGATTTCCCAAGAGCAGCAAAGTCCAAATGTCTTTATACTCACTCGCCACCTCCCCAGACCTTTCACTAAAGAACGAGCTGATTGTCTGTGCATCTTGCAAGGGCCCAGCTGGAAGGGGCTGAGAGGTCAGCTGGTCGACCAGTCCCTTCTCAAAGAAGCCAACTGGAGCTCAGAGAGGTGGAACAGCCAAACCACACGGGACATTGAGGCTGAGTCAGGACCAGAATCACACAGGTCTCGAGACCCCCACACCCAGAGGCAGCTTCAAGAGGCAGTTGCTGCTCAGGATGGAAGCTTCTCACCGGGAGCCTTGTGCAGCCTGACTGAATCCAGCCCAGGCCCTGGATGAGGGGGCAGAGCCAGGCAGGTTCCCATCCCCCCTCCCTGCTGTACTGTGGTGGACACTCGAATCCATAATGGCTTATAGCTCTGGGCTGGGATCTTTCTTATCAAAACCCTCAGAACTGCCCAGCTCTGCCTGGAGGGACGGTATTCTATCGTGTTAGTAAGTGTGCCACTTACTATGGTGTGCTGTGTGATCTTAGTCAAGAAACTTAACTACTCTGTGCCTCTCTAAACTCATCTGTGAAGGAAGGGGTGGTGGATAACCTACTTTATCACATATGGTCATTATGGGATGAAATAAGCCCCTCAGTGTCTGGAATACAGTAATGGTAAATAAATGTCAGTTTAATAATAATATGCAATAAATGTTTTGTTTCTGGCCAAGAAAAGAGGCCCAAGCTCCTTCTCTTCATTTCACCGAGAGGCAGAGTGAGATGACAAGAAATGACCGGTTTGCTTTCCTCTGAGAACACCTCTCATCCACAATGCTGGCTCACTAGCTCCCTCTGCTGTCCATTCAGTGCTCTGCACCCGCCAAGGGCCAGATCAGAGAGGGCCAGTGACCTACCTCAGAGGGTGATTTGGTATTGACCACTCCTCCTAGAGGACTCCAGGGGACCGGATGTGACAGTGCTGCTAGGATCAGACATTTGATCAATTCCCTCTATTTCTGGTTTGTCCTCTCATCCCCCTTCTGCTCATCCATTGCCCACTGAGTGCTGCCTGGGTTGGTCTCATGGAGCATGCCCACCTCTCCCTCAAGCTGAGTACTCAGGGGGTCTGGGGACTCTGCTTGTCACAGGTATCCCCAATGCCACTGCCCCCATGCAGTGTGGCTACCCAGGCCCATCACAACCATCTTTGGAAGGCCTCCAGCCTAGTCTCCCTATGGCCCATGTTGGGGCATGTCACTCTCTGGCCCCTAATTTCCGGAGGCTCTCCACGTCTGTTGGAATAAAGTCCCATCTCAGGGTCCTTCATGCTCAGCCCCACTCCTGGCCTTGCAGTGCTCCCTCTGCCCTGCTCACATGTCCTCTAGCCACACACCTGACCCTTTGCTTCCCTCCTCTCCTCCGCTTGGACAGCTCCCTCCACCTAGAACACATGTCCCTAGACCCCTCCCTGAAACCGAACACATTCTCACCCCATCCTTCAAGGCTCAGCTCAAATGCCACTTCTTCCATAAAGCCTTCCAGGACTTGGATCTTACTGCAAGAAGTGACTGTTCCCTCTCCGCTCACCGCCACCCAGGCCTTCTCTTGGAGCTTCCCTGCCAGATAATGTGTGTACAAGTCCTAACGTTTCCACCAGGCCGCGGAGGCTGGCCCAGTTCTGATTCAGCTTTCATTTCCCCATGGTGCTTTGTTCCAAGTAAACACTGGCTCTGTTGTCATTGAATTGAAGCTGGTTGGGGACCTCCTGGGGTCAGGGGCCAGAGCTAGACTCATTCTCTCCAGGAGGATAGAGAATGAATTCCGAAAGTCCTTGGTGGGAGGCTCTCAGTTTGGGGGGGTCATTCCAGACTGCCTGGGCTTCCCAACTCCACTGACCATTGGGAAATCCACCTCTTCTGCTTCCTGCCCTTCCCAACTGTACAACACCCCCCTAGTGAGCTAATGGCTCCCTGGAAACCCAGCATCTCCTATGGGGTGAGCTGCAAGGAATGCTTGGCTCTATGTCCCCCTTCCAGGAGGAGGCAGGATGCATGTTGGTTGCCAGTAGGAATTCTTGGACCTGGGAACAGGGTCTGAGTCTCCTTCCCAGTATTCCTCTGGAAATTGAAGTCCACAGGCCTCTTCACTCATTCTTGGGGTGATGGGCATGAAGGTGGTGAGATGACTTCTGGAGTTGACCCCATGTCTGAGCTGCCAACCTGCAGGCCAGGAGGGTGGAGGGAGGCGTGCCACCTGCCAATTAACAGTGCAGGGAGCTTATTATCCTAATGAGTGGGTTGGAGGAGCTGGACTAATGCTCACCTTCCCAAGGCTTAGTAGAGACAAAAACGGCATTTGGGAGCCATTATCCAAAGTGTAGGTTTCCGGCACAGTACGGCCAGCGGTGGGGAGGAAACACCTCCGAGAGGTGGGTGGGAGAATAAGGCGGAAGGTTGGGCTACTCCGTTTGGCTGTCTGGGCTGGCAGATGGAACAGAGTCACGAAGACTGAGGCCAGAGGGGCTGAGCCAAGACCAGGTTACGTGTCTTGAGAGTCCCCCAGCCCTGATCCCTCTCTCTGGGGCTCCTCCCCAAGGCTTCCCAGCCCCTCCCCCTCTCTGTAGCCCCATTCCCACCCCCACCCTCACTGTTGACTCTTTTAGATAAGACCCTGTAGCCAGAGAGAAGAAACAGGTGGGGGATCCCCTCGGACCTCCACTTTCTAGCTCTGCTCTTGTTTGCCCCTTGAAAGAGGGCTCTACTGTACCCTGTTGTGGGCTCCTCTGTCTCAGATCTAAATGTTACAGGGGATTGTGGCTAGACTTCAGAAGAACTTCCCAGTCCCAAAGAAGCTGGGAGTTCAGGGCAGCCAGTGGAGATGGTAGCCCTTCTGTGGGCTGGTCATTACTTAGGGGAGGGTCTCTAAAGCATCCAGTCGCTCAGACTAAAGTGTGGAGAAGACACAGCTTGGGACAGCCCTGAAGCCGATCACTTCTTAGGGACCTGGGAGTCAGGCAAAGAATGAGCTGAGCAGAGGGGTGGGGGGAGCGAGGCGGCAGGGATCACATTCTTCCGCAAATCATGGCTCCTCTAGCAGCCACATCATCTGGCTCCCAGCCGAGGACAGACTTGGCTTCAGCTGTGTGCACGCACGCATGTGTGGGCGTGTGCAGTGTGTCTGCATGTGTGTACATACGTGGGCACGTGTATATGCACACAATCCAGCCTCCTTTGCTGATGTGGCAGCCCTCGCCCCCCCCCCCCCCAGCTCCCTTATCTCCAGGCCAGGCTTTAGGGGGCTGGCTCCAGGAATCCCCTCACCCCAGTGGCCCTGTTAGCACCTCCTCCTTCCCTTGTTAGCGCCTCACAGCCCCTCTTTCTCCTCTGGCCCCTGCTGTCCCCTGAGAGAAGCCCCGTGGCTTGCAGCCCAGTTCTCCTCTTCCGACTCCACTTCAGCTTCTATTTTCCAAAGCTTTGTAAGCCCCCTACCCTCTCCACCCCTCCCTCGTCCCCACACAGCCTGGGGCATAAAGTTGGCGCTGCGCTCCTCTGCCAGGTGGGGCACACGGTGAGCCCCTCCCCCCGCGTCAGCCCCTCCTGCCTAGAGGGAAGACGGGGTCAAATTTGGGAGGGAGCCCTGGACTAGGGGCCACAGCTAAGTCCTGGTGCCAGCTGTGCCACCCTCACGAGGGCAAATTGCCACCCTCTCTGAAGGGGTAGGGCAGAGGGACAGGGTAGAACTTCCTCTTCTGCCCCCCCTCCAGGACCGCTTGCCCAGCCCAAGCCTGGCTGCCGCGTGGGGCAGGGTGGTCCTCTGCGCAGCCAGGCTGTCAGGCCGCCAGGACTGCAGGTTTCCTCTAGCGAAGGGCCCCTTCCCTGCTGGCTTTGATGTGTCTGCGAGGTTAGAGGAGGATGTTTGGCTTCAGGGCCAGGTGCCAGGATAAACTCACTCTGCCTGCTGGGCCAAGCCACTGCCTCCTCAGTGCCTGGCTTGCCTGCCTTCCCCAGCCCAGGGCCTGGCTACCCCAAGGCCAGCCCTGCCTACCCAGTGGGGTGGGCACCAAGTGGCCACATTTACCGCTACTGGGGAGAGGCCCTGAGGCCCACGGATGTCCTGTTGCCGAGGCTGTCCCTGGGCGCCTGCCTGCCTGGCCCAGGTGGGAGTTGAGGGACAGACCCCAGCTGTTAGTGGAGGTGGGGTGAGATGGAGTGTGGGGGAGGGGTGTCCACGTGGAGCTGCCTGCATAGGCTTCAGCTCTTCCAGATGTGCAGAGGCTCCAGATGTGGGAATGACTCAACCTGGAATGGAGAGAGGTGGGGAATCCAGGTCCATGGAGGGGCTAGAGAGCCGGGGGAAGGGGATGGGAAGTCCTGAGCAACCAAGCTGCTGCTCCCCTTCCTCTGGAACCCCCTGCCCCTCAGGCCTGCGGGGGTGGGATGGTAGCTGCCCCGAGCTGCCCCATGTGCAGCCTTCAAGGTTCCCACCGTGTGCAGATGGGGAGAGGACAGAATGAGGCCCCAGGGCAAGGGGCCTGGCTAAGAGGTTGCCCAGAGACTGGAGGAGAGGCAGAAGGTAGGGGGCAGTGTGTGGAAAGAGGGGCTAACAGAGAAGATGGGAGGAAGGACAGAGAAGGGGAGGGGCAGGGAGAACCTCAGGAGTGAAATGTTAGATCCCCTCTTGGGCTCCCTGGGAGGGCGACGCTGCAAGGAGGGTGCACAGGTGCAGAAGACTCGTGTGCCCATGGGTGTGTGTGTTTGTGTGTTTGTCAGTTCATTGCTGGAGTGTGGGTTACACGTGGGGGCGGGGGATCTTGGGAAGGGCGTTGTATTTCGGACGCATCTCCGCTGTGCGTGCCGAGTGTGGTGGCTGTGCCGCATGGTCTCTCTGGCCGGTAAGACAGAGGAAGAATACGGAGACAGCATCTGCAGGGATCAGCTGGGGGAGGGCTTTGATGGTGCTCTCTTAAGCGAAGCCACTTGTGCTTTTGGGTGCTGAGAGCGGGTCCCTCAGACCTGGGGGGCATCCAGGCATGCCCAGCCAGGGCTCCAAATTCCCAGGGTCTCCCCCACTTCCCCCAACCTCCCTGCTTCCTGGGGTGGGGTGGCTTCCAGAATCATTGGAGCTACAGTTTCTCCCTCCGGGTCTCGGCTGGTGGGAGCTAAGGGCCCCTGAACTTTGGGGGTAGTGCCCTGTGGGCTGCAGTGCCCGGACCCAGTGTACAGCTGTGCTGGATGCCCCTCCGTGCACCCTTCCCCCAGCTCCACAGAGCCTCTGTCCTGGCTTCCTCTTTGGCCTCCAGGTGGGTCTGCTGGCTGGGCTTCTGGCTACTCCCGGGAGAGCCCCACCTGTGCCAGCCACCCAGGCCAGGATAAACAGGGCACTAAGTGTCTGGGCTGGTGCCTGCCGCGAGCTGGGCACTGCTTCTCCACAGAGCTGGGTTCCGCCTGTGGCTTGGGTTGCCTCCTCCAGCGAAATGACAGGTCTGATGCCTAAGCCCCATAAACAGTGTTTTCTGAGCGGGTGGGGGTCATGGGGACAGATAATCACGTTTAATCAGGAGACAATGTGTCACCACCTCTAAGGGGGCTGTCGTGACTCGCACTCCCTACTTCATGCTGCAGGGGTCCTTGACCCTCTCAGGCAGCACTGGACCCCTTTATTCCCCACCCCCAACACACGC